AGCGCCACCACGCATATGCGCATGAGTGCCACTGCATGCATGAGTGCATGCACACAAGTGGCCCTTTGAGAGTGCAGTGTGCACATGCGTGCATGGGGCGACTCTGCAAACATCACTGTGCACATGTGCGTGAGCACACTCCACACCCCTGCGGGTGCGCCACACCCCCGTGAGCGTGCCATGCCCTCCCAATTGGTCCGCGGTTGGGAAAAGGTTGGGAACCATTGACATACAGAATCCAAGACTAGCAGAATTTAAGAGGATAGGGGACATTATGTTATCTCACATTGCTATTCCAGAAGAAGAGTGGCCTAAACCTTCTGGAGCCTCTTCAGGGGCAATCACTCCAGTGAGGCAACAAAATTTATCCCTGGCAGCAACTCCAAATCAAGGCCAACCTCAGATGACATCAACATGTACACAGAGCTAGTGGGACAATGCTGATGATGGGAATAGTGTCAACCAGCCTGCCCAGAGTGAGGAAGTCCTGCCAGCAGGCCGGTGGCGTCATCTATGGCTATCGCTGCACCAGACATTACACAGCCTGTGGACACTTGGCCGTGGGGCACCAGGAGCCATAATGTGCCGGTCCTTTCGGCTTCACCTTCACCAGCAACACAGATGGGCTTAGTTGGTGGTATGCATCCTTGGCAGTGCAACCCCACAATCTGGCTGTTACCCAGACTGTGGCAGGTGCACCAACTGGACCGGCTGCTCAAACAACTGTTCCTGATACCAGATTTAACTCAGTTGCACAGGGTGCTTTGCTGGAAGGTGATCAGTCTGTACCACTGGGCGATCAACTTCTGCCTGCCACAGTGGAAAAAATATGAGATAATATGTAGATGTGTTTGAGCTCCCGAATAGAAAAATAGAAGATAAAATAAGGATAAGGAGGAGGAGAGAGATAGGGAAAAGGTGAGACCTCGAATGCCTGGCCATTGTTGGGTGAACTGGTTGCTCGGGGGGGGGGGTATATATGCAGGGACTGTGGTTCATGCTCACCCAGAAAGAGCCCTTTCACTGATCCAGTGTATGGACATAATTTATAGGGTGTATGTGGACTTCCTTGGGCATGCATGGTTGCTCTATGATCAGGGGTTCCATACGTAGGTGGCGCTATGTCCTAGCATGCATTGGAATGTGCCACACATGCATTATGGTTGCGACTGATGACACCCATCCATACAATTCTAGGGGATAGGTTTGACAGCGGGCATTTAGTACAAAGGGCATAAACAAACACATCCCACCAGGGGGCTTGTGTTCCAATTGCAGGGCGGGGGCATGCATCAGCAACATGTTTCAAGGGGAAGCAATCGGGATCTGGAGGCAGAGAGTTGGGTGCTGGGCACAAAAAAAGCCACCTGCCATTGCCAATATTCAGAAAGTGCCTCAGCCCAATTAGGGTGTCTCTTTTGGCCCAGTGGCTAAGGGACTACCCTAACAGAGTGGCTGCAAAATGATTAAGTGAAGGTTTTCACAGTGGTTTCCGTATTCCAGCAGTGGGGGATAGAGTAGCTGCCTGGTACGGTAATTTGAAGTTGGTGAAAGGGCCGGAGCACATAGTTAGGGTTGAAATTCAAAAAAAGGTGGTTGAAGGAAGGGTGTTGTAAATGTGAAATAGCATGGGGAATCATGGAACCCTGAAACACTCCACAGGCTAATGGTCAAAGTGTTGAACAGAAGTCCTTAAGCACCACTACCATTCACAAAGTGACACCACACAAGGGAAAATCCCAGAAGATGACTCCTTTTTGATCAGTCAACCGCTTCTCACCCAAATACAAAGCAATTGTCAGGGCTGTTTCTCAACAAGTGTGAATGGTAGTGAGCAGAAGAGGGTATCCTGTAGACCATCTTGACTGCTGCCATTGGGGTTGTCAACATTCAGTCTGCCCTTTGCTATGTAAAGCTTGGCATCCTTTTTCCTGCTGGCTATGCGGGCACACTATTTTGTTGGGCCATTTCCCAGCTTTTTAAATCATGTGTACAGAAGCACAATATTGCTCATTCAGCAACTGGAGGATTTTTGAAGATTTGAATATGATAATATGTGCACAGAAGGTTCCTAGAAACACTGCCAAATGGCATTAATCTGGAACTATGCATATGATGAGCCAGCCAGCCATGCTGTGGGTGGGATAATTCACAAGAACAGGTCCCTAGTACATGCCTCTAATCACAAACTATGCATATGATGAGCCAGCCAGCCATGTTGTGTGTGGGATAATTCACAAGAACATGCCTCTACATCACAGTGTGTGCACACATGTACACACACCATGACAAATAAAGCAAGAGCCCCATTCCGTCCCACAATGACGACAGGGTCTTATTTAATTTTTGCTCCAAAAAATGCATTAGGACTCATTTTCAGCGGATGTTTTATTTTTTTCATGTACAACAATCTATGTTTATTCAAATACAGTCATGCCATCTTCTTCTGGTTGCTGCACAATGGTGGGGGGCAGGGTTTCACTTAACTGGGGCTTATTTTTGGGTTAGGGCTTACATTACGAGCGTCCTGAAAAATCATACTAGGGCTTATTTTAGGTTAGGTCTTATTTTAGGGGAAACAGGGTACTATTACTACATATTCTTAATCCTCATGACAAGGAAGAGTTCAGAAGTTGTCCTTTAGTGGCTCGCTGGTGCCAGTCTAGAACACAACACACACACAAAAAGGAAGGGATGAGCAAGGAATGCATGATACAGCACTCCCACAGTTTCTTCAGCAGCACAAAGTACTCCCACCTTCTTCTTCAGATAAGAGTTTGAAAGGTAATCACCTTTTTGCCACAGAAGAGTCCAAGACACACAGGAGCAGCCACAGGGTCAAACTAGGTGATATATTTATTCCTCCCTCCCTCCCTCCCTCCCTCCCTCTCTTGTGCAAAAGGGCTTACCTAAGTGATAGAAGCCATTGTCATAATGTTGCAATGGCTGGACTCCTATTATTCAGTCACAGCTGGAGTAGGCCCTTTGAATCAAAGGAACATAAAGATGAGTTGACTCACCAGATCCTAGCAGATTCAATAGGCCTGTTCTAGTTGTAAATTATTGTAGCAAGTGACATGATTACAGCCAAATATTTCCCATTTGTATGTGATGTGCCTACTTTTTGTGGCTGGTCCTTAGAAATGAAACATGGGCTTACTTTGCAAGCCTGATTATTAAGAAATGCATCTATCGAAACATCTTGTTTGGGGAGATTTCAGCAGGGAAACAGATTGATCATAGAGAATATGCAATGTCTGCTTTAACTACTGCAGGAATTCCGAGTAGCTTACTACATAGAGAACAGGTTTGAGGAGTACGAGATACAAATTTAAAACTCTCCTGGGGTAAAAGGAAGGAAAATAGGTGCATTTATTTTTTTTTTTTACATGCCTGCCGCTTCCCATAAAAAGGGGAAAGAGAAAAATAAAAGAAACCCCAGTTGTGCCAAGTACAAAACAGGTAAGTTAGCAGGGCATCAGCACCACAGCTGCCTCCTCCCTTTCTTTTTATTTAAGAGGGAAATCTAGCTCCATTGTTGTTTTCATGGAAACTATAGCATGTGCTCATGCTGACAGAAGATTCTGAGTGCAAGCCAATTTCTTTTAAAATGGAGGGGCACAGTATGAACATGCAGGGGGCAAAATTTCAGGCTTGCCGTATTGCTCCAAGACTGATGCGCACACAGCTGCCTGTGCATTGAGTAATAATTCTTCCTCCCAACTGGCAGGGAATCTCTTCTTGCCCCCATCCATCTGCTCTTCTGAATCTGCTTCTTTCTGGGGACCCAAAATGAAGCGCTCCACACACTAACTGTATGCCAGCAAACCAAAGAGGAGCTCTGGAGCTCCTAGCTGCCTCAAGCAGCTACAGTGGGGTCTCTACTTAAGAACGTCCCTACTTAAGAACAATCCAACTTAAGAACAGCTCCATTTGCTAAATTTTGCTTCTACTTGAGAACAGAAATCCAAGATAAGAACAGGAAAAAAAACCTTTCCTGCTCTTTTTTTAACCTTAGGTCAGCTTAGGTTAAAAAAAAATTCTCCCCCTAGTGGTAGAGTACGTATTAACCAGCTTTGCATTAGTTCCTATGGGAACTAATGCTTCAATGTACGAACGCACCTCTACATAACAAAAAACAGCCAGAATGGATTAATTGGTTTTCAGTCCATTCCTATGAGAAATTTTGCTTCAACTTAAGTACGTTTCAGCTTAAGAACACCATTCCAAAACGGATTAAGTTCTTAAGTAGAGGTTCCACTGTAGTTTCTATGGACGGAAAAGAGCAGATACGGATTAAATGGTTTTCAATGCATTCCTATGGGAAATGCAGATTCAACATAAGAACTTTTCAACTTGAGAACCACCTTCCAATACGGATTAAGTTCTTAAGTAGAGACCCCACTGTACATGGAAGAGGATTCTGACTCCAATAGCTTTGCTCATCATTTTTGTGGCATTTGTGCAGTAAGCATCAGTCTGAAAGTCCTGATAGCCTTGGGGATCTGTATGTGGCAATTCTGCATAGTACCCTTTGTCCATCACCCTCAGCCTGGTGCAATATGGCAACCTCAGTGAGAGGAAGGACACCAAACCTTTGCTGGAGTCTATACCTAGAGTTCTCATGATTATAAAATATGGTATCCACAATGCAGGCTACCCAGTCTTAATTATATACATCACATTAAAAAAAAGCTTGTTCAGTCTCCCATTCATATTTTCATTTACACTAACATAACAAAGTTTGTTCCCCCCCTACACATTTTTATTATCTGAACACACTGATGAATCCTTGCTTTTTAGATACCCTCAAAACAAATTACCAGATTAGATATTGTGACATTTTCCTATGCCTTCAGGGTGATGTCTGTCTAATCCCTGTTTATTTCATACTATGGTAAACAAGACATGTACATTTTTAATCTCAAAGAATCCACCAGTAAATTTGCTTTCAGTTCTTAACATCTGTTTGTGCTGAGTTCCAAATCCTGTCCCTCTTTTCTCCAGCACAAAACAAATTCCCTTTTCAACAGAGAACTGATTTCCTGTAGATCTGGTGGTCTGATATCTATCCCGACATAAACTAAAATAGTATTTGTGGTTTCTACCAGTATTACGAATCTACTACAATCATGGTCAAGTCATTTCTGAAAAGAATCCTTCCATCCTTCTTGGTACTGCATTCTGGCTGGCTCAAAGCTTGCCAAAGACTCTGCTTGAGGCCATCAGGTGCGGTGTTCATAAAGTCTTTAGTTCCTGTTAGGAAGTCCAGCATATGACCTCCAACGGCATCTCCATCGGTAAAGCATTCGGTGATATCCCAAGCAGAAGGGAACTCGTAGACCTGGTATGTCAATCCCAACCCCTCCAAGGTGGCTTTGATGTCATCAGCTGTGATGTAATGGCCACTGTCAGTTGGAGGAAGACAATGTCGGTATTTCTTCCAGAGGGAGGCCCACCCACTGCGGCCTATGGGAACACAATATATGGAATTACAGTAGATTCAAATAAACGCTATGCACAATTAAAGCGATTTAACAAAAGCTAAGCGCATAGGCATGCTGGTGTCATTGAAATCATGAGACTTACCAAATTCCACATACATATATGACTAAGACTGAATTGTGAAGCTCATTGCATACTGACTGAGATAGTCAATAAGGCTTCGAAGCATATGAAAAGAGGAAGATTGTAAGCATTTCTTGACCACAAAAACCATCGCTTCCAAAGTTGTTTTGTCTCTTCCAGACAAAAACTTATATTTTAAAATTATTTTATTTATAATTTATACTTATTACATATGTAGATTATAGTCTATAACAGTACATTGGAAAATTTACTGTTTTAAACTATAAGCCCCAGAATCCCCATTGGCCAGCAGGCCCATTGGCCATGCCGCTGTCTGTGATATGCTAAAAAGTAGCAAACAAAATGTACATTTTTCAAACTCTGGTACTGTTTTTGTGCAGGGAACCAGGTGCAAAGGAGCAACATTGGGGCAATGAGAGACAAAGATCAAACAATCAAGAGTTTACTTATGAGCAGGTATACCAGCTTGCCACTTTAGACGGCAAGCTGGCAAATCACTCAGAAGTAGACTCACTCACTCGTCATCATGTGCAATTCTGACCTATGGTGATCCTTTCCAGGGTTTCCCAGGTAGAGAGTACTCATGAATGGTTTATCATTGCCTTCTTCTGGGGGATCCCTGGGACTGTGCGGCTTGCCCAAGGCCACACAGGCTGGCTCTTTTCCCAGGAGGCACAGTGGGAAATCAAACCTCTGGCTCCACAGCTAGATACCTAAAGCACCGAGCTATCCAGCCAGCACATTTACTCATAGTAGATATAAAAAACCTGCCTGAAGAGCATGATGTTGCTTAGATGTTTGTGCCTACACCATGATCTGGGAAGCAAACCCGAAGCACTTCCTGTTATGACTATATTTCAAGCAGCAGCTTTAACTATGGATATCATGTGATGGGTGCAACCTGCCATTAGCTGCTTCTTGGTATCTCCGAATTCATAAGTGAATAAATCAATGGATTAATAGAAGAATACAAGAATCTTAGAAACATAAGCTTTAAAAAAAGTTGCCAAATCATGTCACAATCATTGATAACACACTGTAATTTTCTGTAGCAATCTATAACATTCAGCCTTGATTACTGTAATGATTCTACAGTGGGCTATCCTTGAAAATGACACCAAAGCTTGAGCTTGTACAGAACTCTCCTGATTTCCTTCTGTCTGGTGTTGCAAGGCATTGTTTTGTTTTATTTATTTATTTTATTGCACTTTTATGCTGCCTTTCTCCCAGCCATGGGACTCAAGGTGGTGAGTTGAACTAGTTACACTCTTTGCCAGTTTACTTCTAGGCCAACCCAAGCAGCTGGGACCTGCATACTTTACCAATTGTTTTTAAATGTGTGAGCTGCTTCTCCGCTTGCTGAAATCCAGTCAGCAGCTTTCTCACCTATGCCATTTTTGTGGCAGACGTGAAGAGACCTTGAAGTGCGGTTTTGCTTCCAAAATGCCAAGTTGAAGGTGTGAACCTCCTCCCAGAAGAGAGTGGCTTGGCTCCAACTTTGCTCTTCATTTTGACAGAGCGGCAGGAGTTATCTTTGTAACAAAGACTGAAGTTCAATGGTTCCCAAGCTTGGCCCATTCCCCAGATGTTTCTGGAGTACAGTTCCCAAGCATCCTAGTTGATAAGCAAGCCAGGACTTAAGAGAATTTTAGTTAAGGAAAAAAATAAAGCAGAGGCCCATATTTAGGAACCTTTATCTTATCCTATAGCATTTAGTTTAAAATGTTAGATCCTGTCAATTCATGCACATGCACCCCATAAAATATTGTGATACCTTTGCATAACTCTGCAATGTGATCACACCTGAAATGCCGTGCTTTTTGCATGCGCAGAAGTCCCTCAACCCACTCACTACGTATCGAGCAAAGGCACACTGATGGGCCACCTGACCTTTCTCCAGGTCTATGGTCATATTTGTGTGTTTCTGTTTTTCCATTAAAACCCCACTCATGTGAATGGAAAACATAAACGGCAAGGCTGAATGACACAAGCAGAAATGAACGGTGTCACTGTCTGTTCGCAGAGCTGGATGCTGTGTGTGTTATTTTTATATTTCTCCTTTTTCCAGATGCCAGGAGAAGGTCTCAGTCAGCTTGCTAAGGCAAGTACCAAGAAGGAGTGAGGGAGGAACTTTATAAAGGCAATGAGCGAACTCTTCTCCATTACTTCTTAAAGGGCAATGCAGGAAGCCTACTCTTCTGTAGTATTTGTTTCTTTTGCTTGCTCCCTTCTTGTTCCCTGCATCTGAAATAAGTGGTGCTTTGGACACAAGATTCTGATGATCCAGCCATTCTCAATGGGGGCCCACATGGCCTTCTGGGGGGCCCTGACACATTTGAAGGAAGTCAGAGGCTGAAAACAATTCTTCACACACCACTTTATAAGGTTCGTTATGCAAACCTTATACAATCCTGAATCGGCCTATATTTCTTCCATATTTCCTTTATGGCCGTGGCCAAAAAAGGGTTGAGAATGGCTGGTTTAATCAATGATGTTGCAGCAGGAAGAGCTAGGAAGGTTGTTTCTAAAGTATAGTAATGAACTTTTCTTGCCTTTGTCTTTCTGAGTTTCTCTTTCTCTGTATATAATTAAACTGCGTGAGTGTCAGATTTACCTCAAAGGATCTTTGCTCTGCCCTGTGCTCATCCAAAAAATATGGAAACATCCTTGATTCTGTTTCTGATTACACACTTGTACAAGACAGTTTTATATGACCACTGTGGAAAGTTCTGGTTACTTTAATATCTTTAAACAAAGATATTGTAGAACTGGAAAAAATATTGAAAGCGGCCATCAACCTGATCAAGAATCTGTAAAATCTATATAGTGAGGAAAGGTTACAACTTTTACCAAGACTGTTCATGACCAGACCAGGGGATGCCTGCCTGAAAATTGGGGGTAAGGGGGTAGCCTGGTTAGTTCATGCATTCTTCATGATGTTTGTAGCTTTTGGGATTTAAAAAGGTTGAATAAGGTGGAAGATGACAGAGGTGTCCCAAATTGTGTAGGAAAAAAGGCAGGGGTAAAGGAAGCCAGCAAGTGGACAATGATCTCAGTATGCCCAGTACACATGCTTTATTATATTTAGCCAATTTCCCCCCATCTCGCAAACTCTAGGGTCATCCTCAAGGGCTTTAAAACAGCAGTAAAGCAGCAAAGTATGGCTCTTGATATCAGTTGCTCTGGCATGCATATCCTGGCTAAGGGCTTCTCATGGGAATTACAGGGTCACTGTGGGGGAAAATATTATAGTCATAGAACTGCAGAGTCAGAAGGGGCCCAATAGATAATCAAGTCCAGTGCCTCTTAAGGAGGTATGATGGGGAATCAAACCCCCAACCTCCGTCTCTGCAACCATATACCTAAACCACTGAACTATGATGCTGGAATGGATAGGCATTTTGTCTCATTGTGAAGCCACAGTTCTTTTTGTTTTTAGTGCACAGTTGCAACCAACTGTTGTATGTATGGTTCTCCTTCCTGACATTGATGCAAGGAGGTATTCACTACACCTTTCTGTACTAGGAAGCCCCATTGATATTCACCTCGTGCAACTGCAAGCCAGAGATGCTGTAGTGTTCTGTATCCAGGGGGAACATGCCACCTTTCCCTAACAGGATATAGTCTTATGTCTTTATGTCCTTAAATCACTTTGAATTCTGAAGAACTGGCATAAAATATTTAGCAAATCAATATATCCAGGTAAAAGCAACATGGATATAGATTACAGAGTCACAGTGTTATTCCACAAGGGGGAGTATAGAAGAGAGTATTTAAATACAAGGTATCTATTGGATCGTACAGTCAATTTTCTGTGAAAAATATTCAGACACCACTTTAACACAGATGAGTCTATGTTCTTTTCTGAACAAGGGAATCACGGTCCTGTTTAATTATTAAAGGAGAATCTCTGTAAAGCATGAAAATTGTATAGGGATTGGAGAGGAAAGAACCCTCTTACCTGATAAAATGATAATCAGAAGTTTAGCGTAGCTATCTAGGCAGTGGTGGAAAAACCTGATCGTGCTCGTGATATCCTCTACCCGGTACAGCATCTGAAAGTCAGATTGCCACACAAAAAAAATTAATATATTATTAATAGCTCATGATGAATCTCTCTCAGGATTAAAAACAAATCTGTGTCTCATCACTAATATTTCGTGCAGCACTATTTCTGTTCAATATTTTATTCATTAGGTACACCAATAAAAAGTAACAGAAGAGACACAACTCAGAGAACTGCTGGATAGCTCAGTGGATTAAGGCATCTGGCTGTGGAGCCAGAGGGTTGGGAGTTCAATTCCCCAGGGTGCCTCCCTGTCAGGGTCTGGACTCTTTGGGAGTTCAATTCTCCACCGTGCCTCCCTGTCAGGGTCTGGACTGGATGACCCATAAGGTCCCTTCAAGCTCTACAGTTCTAAGATGATGACGACCACGACGATGATGATTATAAAGCAAAATCAGCTGCCGCTCTGCAGCTCTTTATTTTACTGTGTCATACAAGGACTGACAAGAACAGATGTGGCAACAAAGGAAGCATGAGAAATACACAGGAAGTGAACCTCTGAGCTGTCCACCCAGTCCTCTTTGATTGCATCTCACTGTAGTGTTGATGGTGAGAAACACTATAAAGTCTGTACCCTCCTCATGCCAGGTCATGTGGCACAAGTGGAGTTGTTGATACCCATGTGGCTTGATACCCATTATGGGAGTTATATATATTTATTTGTTTTGTCGATTACATTTAGTTTTAAATGTTGATCTGATAAAGTGGATGCAAAAAAAAGAGAGACAATTCCAACCCACTGAGAAGGATAATAGGTAGCTCTGCTGTACCATTCAGGAACTTGAAAACAATATGACTCAAACATTATTGCTCTCAAAGTTTCTGTACAGGTTGGAAAATACAATATATAAGGTATATAAGAGTCAGTATGGTGTAGTGGTTACAGGCTGGAATGGTGCTTGGTGTATATAGTTGTCCATGAGCCATGAAACGCATTGGAAGTCACTAGCCTGTTGCTTTCACTTGCTTAGCTCAAATATAAAGCTATGAATGGAGGAGAGCTACTGCTGTTGCTTTCACTTGCTTAGCTCAAATATGAATGGAGGAGAGCGATGTTATTTCCTTATGCTCATCACAGAAAAAAGAAGGGAATAATCAATTGAATGAATGAATGAATAAACACAGACGGACGGACGGTTGGACGGAAGGATGGAAGGACGGACAGACAGACAGACAGACAGACAGATGAGAGAAGACTACATGGATCCCTTCTAAATACTTACATAACTCTTAGACAGACAGACAGACAGACAGATAGATGAGAGAAGACTACTTACATAACTCTGAATAAATTTGAAGGAAATTCTGGGATCAATGCTGTCCATTGATTCCATAGTTGAGGGTTGGGGATACCAGAGCTTCTAGAAATATAGTGACTACTGTCTTGTTGTACAGTAGGGGACACTCTTCCAGCTTGCACAAAAATATCAAATGGGACCAGTAATTGCTGTTGTGTGTGAACATTTTGTGATGTGCTGGTTACTTTATGTGAGACAGGTACACGCACGACTCATTGACCACCAGAGAGTTCTCATCATAAACAGTTTTGAGAATGGCAAAGTAAGCTGGGATTTTCTTTTCACAAGTAAATTGCAAGGTAGCTGTTTTAAAACCAACACAGGAAGCCAGATTTCAGTAGAATATCAGGAAAACTTCAGCCAGATTTCGGTAGAATATCAGGAAAACTTCCTAACTGTTGAGCAGTACAGCAATGAAATCAATTACCTTGAGATGTGGTGAGTCCTCCAACACTGGAGACATTCAAAAGAAATTTAGACTAGCACCTGGCAGATATTTCTTGATTTGTATTCCTGCACTGAGCAGGGCATTGGACTTGATGGTCTTAGAGGCCCCTTCCAACTTCATGATTCTGTAGGTCTATGATTCTATGAATTTTAAAATTGAATGCAAGAAAGCTAGGATTTGAAATGAGGTCAGTGACATAGCACAAAATGACTGTACTGTTTTAATGACTGTACTTTGTTTTAATGAGCCAGAGAACATCATATGATCAAACTGGTCCTTAATTTACCTGAATCAGGTGTATGAAGTCATATTTCTTTTGCATGTTCTGCTCTTTTGCCTGCTTCTCATACTCCATGGATGTCAACTGATGCCAAGTAAATGAGACATTCTTAAGATCAGAAGAATTCCTAACAGCACCTGTTTACGACAGCACAACACAATGAAGGTCATATAGGTAAGCATATGCAGAGATATTTTGAGACAGAAGGAGCACAATGATGTACCTTTGTATGCCAAAATGTGTTGTGGGTTGGGCTCTATGACTTCATTTTTTATAAAGACTCCTGGGTGCTGAGCCTGAATAATCTTAATCATTTTCAAGTCCTGCTCACCTATAAAATAGATACAAAACGTTTTTTTTTTAAAAAGCAACGTGTTTAAAGGGATCCTGCTTCTGCTCATTTGTGACACAAAAGAACTTGTCCAAATTCTATGCACACTATTCGTAGATCCCCATATTGAACTCAGTGGAGATTATTTCCAGTTAAAATGCTTTGGACTGTGTGGAGAGGCTGTACAGAGCTTGGGAAGTTCTTTTTAAGAAAAATGAATATGATGGCATGTTAAAGCCATCCATGAGTGAGCAATGTGATCCAGAGTATCATCCTACTACTGCTTATGAGCAATGCAATCCAGAGTATCATCCTACTACTGCTTAATTGTGGATGGCTTTAGCATGTTATTATATCATTCTTCTTAAAAGAAACTGCCTAAACTCTAGAGCCTTGTTCGAACATTCGGTATCTGTTTGGGCTCAATACACAAGGAAAGAGATCAAGCTAACCCTGCCCCTCCTCAACTCTTTGTTCAGGCGAAGTGCCAGAAAAGAAAACAGAGAACTCATTCTTCTGTTAATTTCTGCACATGAGCCAGAACACGGAGAATGCAGGGTTCTGGTTCACACAGAGAGCCTTGACAAGAGGCCACTCTTCAGACATGGACGAAGCGATGATGGAGGAGACAGGGCTAGCTCCCTCTCCATGTGTTTTGCTGCATGACTGAACAGGGAATGGGTTAAGAGCCGCTTCAGCTGCTAAAAAGTGCTAGCTTCTCTAAATAACCTTCTAGAGTTACCCACCAGACAGAGATTGGGAAACTTACTGTATAAGGTTCCTATTCACATAATCCCACAAAATGCCTTCTTGCCATGCTGGCTGCGAGATTCTCAGACCAACAGTTCAAAAAAGTAGCTTTCCAAGTTCTTTTCAGACATTACAAGCAAGTACTACCAGACACAGATGCGAGAGTATATAGAGGCAAACTAAATGTCTGTCATAGACATAGGATATTCGAATATTGGCACCATAGATGCCTGGAAAGTCCACCCCACCCCCACCCCGGAGCCAGCAGGTACAATTACTGGTTGCTGTGCAGCGCAAGCAGCTGGTGTAATTCCCATAATGCCAATTGCAGAAGTACCCCAGCCAGCACTTCCCTGCCTCCAAATGCATCTACACGCTCAACAGCTGAGTTTGCCAGAGTGGTCAGCTGCGTGGGGAGGCAGGGCAGCACCGGCCACAAGGTAAACCTGCTGGTTTAAGAGGGAGAGACTGGAATTTCCAGGCATCTGTGGTGCTGATATTCATATTCGTATCCCTAGGGATACAAATACAAATAGCCCATGTCTAGTCTGTCATCATGGTATTTGTCATGTAAAATACTTGGCACTGTATAGCTTGACACAAAAGAATCACTGCAACACCACTTTCTTGTAGATGTGAACCACCTCCAAAGAAAGTTCTCAAATACAGATGGACACGAACCAAACTACAAACCAGAAAAAAACACAAACCAGGTTGGTTCATGGTTTGGTTCGTGCAAGCCATTTTGCTGAAACAAAATGAAGTGCTGAACTGTTTTCTGCTAGGGGCTTCGTTTTGCTTCTGGTCCTGTTGCCTCCGCTGCCGCCATCTTCAGAGATGGCGCTTGGCTTCCCTTCCAGGAGCCAGGCCTGCATGTGCCAACCTATCAGCTAATAGGCATACAAATGCGCAGAGACAGCAGTCCCTGCTCCTGGAAAGGAAGCTGTGCCACAGTCTTTGAAGATGGAAGCAGCCGAGGAGGAAGAGGAGGAGGTGGCAGAAGTACCCCAGCCAGCACTTCCCTGCCTCCAAATGCATCTACATGCTCAACAGCTGAGCTTGCCAGAGTGGTCAGCTGCATGGGGAGGCAGGGCAGCACCGGCCACATGGTGACAAGTAATTGGACCTGCTGGTTTAAGAGGGAGAGACTGGAATTTCCAGGCATCTGTGGTGCTGATATTGATATTCAGAGGAAGAGGAGGAGGTGGCAGGACCAAGTAAGGAGGAGACGAGAGCAGTGGGAAGGGAGTGGGCAGGTGGCAGAGGGGTGGAGGCATTGAGTTCCCCTCCCCTCCAGGCACAAACCAGAAAAGCAAACTGTGAACCGGTTCACTTTTCCAGAGTTTCATAGCCATGAACTATGAACCACCCTGATTTGTCATTTTCTCAGTTTGTGCCCATCTCTACTCTCAAATATAGGCATTGAGGTTGATCTGTATCAACTAGCAAGTTCTAGTTGTTTTCACCTTTACCAGGAGAAGGTCTTTTGCAGAGCTAATGCACTTTAGCTGCCTTTTCAAAAGTAAGCTACCACGACATACTCTGCATAATAACAGGCATAGTTATCAATGGTTGTTGGGTGAATTAGTTCATGCGAGGATTGAAGCAAAAACACCAGGACGTCAAAAGGACCTGACAGTTATTATCATTGAACTGCTAAGGTTTCTGGACCCAAAACAGAAATCAAACTACCACAGTTAATATATGTAGCACTATTGAACTATGGTGCAATCCTGCGCCAATCTACTGGGAGGAAAAACCCCTTTGACTCAGTGGAACTTACTTCAAGTGAAAATGATTGCACCATTGTGCCTATACCTATTAATGAGATAGATATGGGTGTAATGATGTCTTTCCAGGTTTTCAACAAGAAGAACAAAAGATTGTTGTTTTTGTTATAATTTTATCTTTAAACTCTGTAATTTAGGGAGAGACTTGAATTAAATTATTTGATCATTTACCCAGCCTTGTTCACTTGCCTACACCAGGGATACAAATACAAATAGCCCATGTCTAGTCAGTCATCATGGTATTTGTCATATAAAATACTTGGCACTGTATAGCTTGCCACAAAAGAATCACTGCAACACCTCTTTCTTGTAGATGTGAACCACCTCCAAAGAAAGCTCTCAAATACAGATGGACACAAACCAAACTACAAACCAGAAAAAAAACACAAACCAGGCTGGTTCATGGGTTTCTGGACCCAAAACAGAAATCAAAGTAACTACCACAGTTAATATATGTAGCACTATTGAACTATGGTGCAATCCTGCGCCAATCTACTGGGAGGAAAAACCCCTTTGACTCAGTGGAACTTACTTCAAGGGAAAATGATTGCACCGTTGTGCCTATAGCTATTAATGAGATAGATATGGGTGTGATGATGTCTTTCCAGGTTTTCAACGAGAAGAACAAAAGATTATTGTTTTTGTTATGTTTTTTGTCATTAAACTCTGTAATTTAGGGAGACACTTGAATTAAATTACAGTATTTGATCATTTACCCAGCCTTATTCACATGCCTACCCCTCTGTTATGCATCCCACTTCCTTTTGAATTGTCAGTTAAAAAGGGCCAATGGTGGCTTTGAGTGGATTCACTGAATATTTCATTGAGTTGATCAGCCAGTTGATTAAAGGCCTAACAGACTGAGACAATACCTCCAGCTACACACCACCGCCAACGGCAATATAAATAGAGATGCAGGCAAAGATTGTGCACAGTCTTACATTATTTCTTTGGACCAATGAATGCCTTACTCTGAAAATAAAGGCAGACTAGACAGCTGGGATAAAAGCAACATTTCAACCTTAGTTTTCAAAGCATCAACAATTGGCCATCATTCAGAACAAGAATGACAGATTTCTGAATCTTTTAGCTTTGAGGTTTTGTCTCCTTACCTGTGCCACTCCCGACACCTAGCACGCTGATAGAAGATTTTCCATTCCCTAGACTGAAATTAGAAGCATTTGTTATAATTATTAAAACATCATTTTTGCCTTTAATTTTGCTGAACTGTCTGCTGCTATCACCAATGCAATGCCCTGGAACTTTGAGGGGTGTGTTCCACCAAAGTGGAAACATCACACATTCCTCAAAGCACTGGTCAAAGCATGGATGTGCCTCATTGCAAGTAGTAAAACATGCAGTTGGATGTGCAGCAAGCATACAATGTTAGCAGTAACCTATCAAAATGAAACTACAGATGGACAATTCTGTCTAGCTCCAGATCACATCTTTGTAAGGCTACATCCATGCCATGCTACTTCTACAAGGAAGGGTGCAATGGGGATTCCTAAGTAAAATTAAGATAGTGGTATCAGGGCTCAGGGATGGGGCAGACCTCTGAGTTCTCAGGTACATGTATGGCCCCCAAAACTTCCTCAGTTGCCCAGTCTTGAAACAGAACCATAGCTTTAATAATGGTAAAGGTAAAGGTTCCCCTTGACTATTTTTGTCCAGTCATGTTCAACTCTAGGGCGCTGTGCTCATCCCTGTTTCCAAGCCATAGAGCCAGCGTTTTGTCTGAAGACAATCTTCCGTGGTCACATGGCCAGTGCGACTTAGACACGGAACGCTGCTACCTTCCCACCAAAGTGGTCCCTAATTTATCTACTCGCATTTGCATGCTTTCGAACCGCTAGGTTGGCAGGAGCTGGGACAAGCGATGGGCGCTCACTCCATCACGTGGATTCGATCTTACGACTGCTGGTCTTCTGACCCTGCAGCACAGGCTCATTGCAAGTAGTAAAACATGCAGTTGGATATGCAGCAAGCATACAATGTTAGCAGTGACCTATCAAGATGAAACTACGGATGGACAATTTTGTCTAGCTCCAGATCACATTTTTGTAAGGCTACATCCATGCCATGCCACTTCTACAAGGAAGGGTGCAATGGGGATTTCTAAGTAAAATTAAGATAGTGGTATCAGGGCTCAGGGATGGGGGCAGACCTCTGAGTTCTCAGGTACATGGATGGCCCCAGAACTCCCTGGTTTGTCCAGTCTTGAAACAGAATCATGGTTTTAATAATGGTATCAGTGCTTAAAACTAACATTTCATTTGGCATGGATCGGTACGAAGAGACACCATTTTGTTTTAGATGTGTTGTGTGTTGTTTGCTTTATTTGGATTTTTTTTGTTTTTTTGTTTTGTTTTGTTTTTTTAAAGCAAGGCTAAGGCACCTGTCTGGTAATGTGTCAATCCAAAGAGAAGAGCGGACTAGAAGATAAGAAACCACAGGCATTGGGCTGTTCCTTAGAACAAACCCTTCCAAGCATTTTGAAGTTCTTCCTTACCTGGCTGCTATACTTGGTAGTGCCTCCTTGTTGAATTGTTCCATGCATTGATGCTCAGTTGAATGGTTTAAGAAGGACTTAAAGACCTTTGCATATTCTTCTACAGTAAGTCTTCTCATTGGCTGGGTTACATAGAGCCCTTTGGAACATAAAGGCAAACTAGTATTTTTTTTAAGAGATGGAGATAAATGCCAGTTAACTTCATGGACAACTTCAGTATAAGGGAAATCTTAGCAAAACATCAGCCCAAGATATGAGGAGTGTGCCATGCCCCTGTTTTTGCTTTGTGGCACACCTTGATAAGCCATGGTTTAAATCACAGTCTGAAGTTAGTTTAACATCTTATCTTGTTGTAAAGCTGAAAATCTTTTTTTCCTGGAATGAACTGGAAACAATAGTTAATTAGAGACTTCCTCGCTTATCAAGGTACACTACAAAGGGAAGGGTAAAGTGAGTGTGTGCACGAGTGAGAGAGAGAGAGAGTGAGTGAGAGAGAGAGAGAGAGAGAGAGAGAGAGAGAGAGGACTAACACATAGTTCAGACTATTAAAGTCAGGTATGGTTATTCAAACCCAGCCATATAGAATTTCTTTTCTATACAATTCATATAGAATTTGGAGCAACCTTTATGACTTGGGGAGCATAGAAAACTACTGGGTGAAGCCTTTAACAAGCATGTGTTTTCAAATGCCTGGAAAGCTAGGACAAGAAGACTTGGATGTCATTCAAGATTTACATCTGACAGCCAACATACACCCAGCTGGCCTTTCAAAGAGTGTGGAGCTTTATTTAACCACTCTGACCTAGTGACAGTCACACTTTGAAAGCTTTTCTCAGCAGTGCAGTCCTATTCTCAAGGTATGTGGATTGGACAAGGCGATACCTTTCTAATTTATGTCCGCATCAAGGAGTCACACTAATATAGAATTTTCACTCCTTGTAATGTAATTTTAATGTGTGCTGTTAAGTCAATTCTAACATACGGCAACCCTTCTCAGGGTTTTCTAGGCAGAAAGTACTCAGAAGTAGTTTCATATTTCCTTCTTATAGAAACATCCTGAAACTGTACAGCTTGCCCAAGGCCACATAGGCTGCTCTTCTTTCAGGAAGAGCAGTAGGGAAATGAACTCCCAGCCTCTGGTTCTGTAGCTGGATAACTAACTCACTGAGTTTTTTTAACATTGCAAATTTCAGTCACTTAAGTGTGATGCTTGGCAAGAGCTTAGAAAAGTTAATTTTGGATTACAACATCTAGCATTCCCGAGCCAATTATGTTAGCTGGGTGATTTCAGCAGCTGTTTTGGCCAAATAGCTTCAAATTCTGTGCTAGCCTAACTCTGCTGGCATATAAGGACAAAATGAACAGATGGGTGCATGAGTGCATAAAAAACAGCAGGGAAATGGCTGTCCTAGCCTTGTCTGCAAGAACATAATGCTCTAAGAATGCCTTAAGCACCTTTGTGTATTCTTCCACTGTAAGGAATCAAATACATCGATCAAATCAACTTGTCAGAGCATCTCGCCTTAATGTCATCTCCCTGACCGACAAGGTCATCCCAGTAGAGGCTCCTCTAGGTGGCCACCCCAAGGGGGGGGCATAAATACTCTACAAGAGATAGGGTCTTCTTTGCATTGGCTCCCAACCTTATGGAACCAGCTTCTGGAGGAGCTCTGCCTAGCCCCCTCCCTGTGGACTTTTAGGAAGAAATTAACAACATTGCTTCTCAGGGAAGCTTTCCACAGCAACACTGGCTGATCATCTCCCCCCCCCCTTTTCCTTTACCTGTCCTGGTTTTATATGATTGTTCTGCGCCATCTGTCTTTAAGGGTTAATTGTAGTTGCTTTTAAGACTTTTATTCTTATTTTTTGTTTTGCATTATATTTGTTGTACCTGTCCAGAGTAGTGCTTTGGCACTAACAGGAGAGGGTATCCATCCATCCATCCATCCATCCATCCATCCATCCATCCATCCATCCATCCATCCATCCATCCATCCATCCATCCATCCATCCATCCTTCGAGGTCAAGGTGACTGCTTACCACAAGCCCACACCCAGCCTCCCAGGTACTCTAGGATCTGAACTGACAAACTTATGACACAGCATCAAAGCTATACAAGCTATACAGCAGAGGAACCATCACAGTGTTGGAGGCACATATCTTTTGCAGCTGCTGGTTGCTGTACATCTCCCAAGCTATGTGTCACTTCAAGCAGCTGGACAATTATCTGACTGTGCGCCTCACTCCATGCTATTAAGTCCATAATGAAGATTACAGCAACAACAGCAATTAGCTTCTGTCGAGTAGATTTGCCTTGTATGGTTTTATGGAGGATTATTGGAAGCCTTTGAAAGCTTCTTGATGGATGAAGTGTGAGAGGAGTAGGTTTACAGTACAACGGGGTACAGTGATGGAGAAATCTGAATGTCTGAGTGTCTGTCATGCCCCTTTTCAAAGGCACAAGGACCACATACTGTATGAATATGGAGTAAATCAACCTGGCCTGGCCTAGCTTTGGCAATGAGCCTACAGAAGAGGTGGGGTCAAAGCAGGCTAGTAGTTGCCACTCCAAGGAAAGTTCCAAGTGAACATCTTGCTCTAGCGAAGACTATAGGGGGTCTCTGTGCTCCCAGGACTACCATTTTCAGACCCTGAATGGACAGTTCCCTGGCTTACAGTCCTTCTTGTTTCTAACTAGTCTGTCCCGGCACAAGGTCTGCACTGAGGGGTTGAATTCTTGAAAGTTGCAGGCAGTAAGGATTTGGACTCTAGAAATCCCACCTCAAGTATCCTGGCTTAAAAGCCCTCTGATCCAATAAGCTCATAGGCCTGGCTGTGATGGTACAGCTGGGCTTGGTTTCTAGTGTCTCTGCCTCTGGTGCTACTTGTCTGATAGATCCTGCAAGCCCCTCCAAGTCAGCATCAGAGCCCAGGCTATAGCCTGGGCTCTGCCTCCAACTTGAAGTCCTGACACCGTGTGATACTGTCAGAACTTACTTGGCAACTGATATTGTCCACTCAAAGCAGCTTCTGTTGCAACAGTGACAGCGCTTGGCTAATTTTTAAAGACAAGAAATCTTCCCCATTCCTCACATTGACACAATAGGGGGAGCTGAGGATCTGCAGCGTATTATTGCTTCTGGAGCACAAGCCAGTGAGTGGCTCCAGGAACTCAATGGCCCTTCCATTGCTGCTTGCTGCTATATCATGCAGTTGCTATGATATGAGGAGAGGATAAGTCGGCATTGCATTAGGTCTGCTTTAGACCATCCCAGCAGACACTGGCAACCAACAGGAACACGGGAACCATAGCTAGATGGAAGGAAAACTGCTGGAGAAATGGAAAACAAATCATTTGACTTGCAAGTGGGGCAATATAGAAATGTGGTCAATTATGCTGACATAATCTCCAGTGTAACTGTGACCATCACAGCTGGGCTGTATGATTCTTCTTATTCTTTTGGAGAATTTTTTTTACAAGTCACAACCAAAATAATCTGGAGGAAAAGGAGGGGGGCAAACAAACAAACAAACAAACAAGCAATTTGTTAAACTTCAAAAGTATTTCAAAAGTACCTGAATTGTTTGATGAGGTCATCAATCTCTCTCTCCGTAAACCTGCATCCTTTGCTTTCCTACGACAAAGATGAGTACCTTTTTAGCAATTTGAACAATCTTGCTCCTGCCCATTAGTTGCCCCCTAGTAGGGTTATGAATTTATAGTTATGCATCCCTAATGCCCTGGGTAACAGGTGGAGATGATCCCTGACATACCTGGCATCGTTGTCATCATCATCATCATAATCTATGGCTCTAACCACAGGCAGTGTGGTGCCATTCATGGAGCAAAATCCTTTTGAAAACACAGCAACTTGGAGGCAGCCATCTTCCATTTTGCTTTGCTTTGCTTTGAGAATCCTGCATTGATGATGATAAAATATTGCATTGATGTAAGAACATTGTTAAGTCTTAGCCACTCTTTTAAGAAAGTTATTTGCTATCTGTCACAACATAAGTTATAGTGGCTTAATGAGAGACAGCTATTTGATGAACAGCTCACTAATTAAGTATATAACCAGTCTGGCCATAGCTTTTTGCACCTGCTGAAGTTTCCGTACTGCTTTCAAGGGCAGCCCTAGGATGACAGCATTGCAATAGTCTATTTTGGAGATTACCAACACATGAACCACTGTTGTTAGACATTTCTTATCCAGATAACAGCTGGGCAATTGGCCTGAGCTGATAAAAGGCACTCCTGGTCACAGCAGATAATTGCACCTCCATTGGGTCCAGGAGAACTCCGAAGATGTGAACCTGATCCTTCAGGGGCAGTGTAACCCCATCAAAGCCAGGTAAATATCCCTCTAATCAGTCCAACAGTCCTTCCAACAGTATAACCTCCTTCTTGTCTGTATTCAGTTTTAATGCATTGGTCCTCATCCAGTCCATTAGAACAGCCAGCACTCAAGGAGCTGCATTGCATCACCTGCAGATGTAGAAAAGGAGAGTCAGAGTTGTGTGCCATCCACAAGATGAACACATACTCCAAATCTCTGTATAACTTCTCCCAGCAGCTTCATACAGATGTTAAAGAGCATTGGGGACATAGCTAATTCCAAAGGGGCCCCATAAATGAGCTCCCAAGTGGTGGATCACACCTTCCTAAGCTATAGCATCTAGGAAGAGCCCTCAAAGAAGAATTGGAACCATTGTAAACTGCTCCCCCAGTCCTAAACTTGATAGCAATCCCAGAAGGATATCATAGTTGATGACAGCAAAGGCCACAGATAAGTCCAGGAGGACCAGCAGAGTTACACTCCCCTTATTATGCTTTGCTAAGGAGATCATCATGCAGGCCAGCCAATGTCATTTCAGCTCTGTGTCATGGCCTAAAACCTGACTGAAATAGATCTAAACTATCTGTTTCTTCCAAGAACACTTGCAATTGGTCAGCAACCACTCTCTCAGTCAAATTGTCCAAGAATGGAAGATTGGCAACTGGGCTAGAGTTGTTAAGATCATCAGCTGCTAAATTTGGTTTCTTTGGGATGAGCCTAATAATGGTCTCCTTCAGACAGGAATGTAGACAGCCTTGCCACAGAGCACATGAATGATATATCCAGCCCATTCCCTAGTTGACCCTTTTGCTGATTTTATGAGCCATGAAGGACAAGGATGAAAAGAGGAGGTGGTGGCTTTACGGCGTGCAAGTGCCTTGCCCACATTCACAAGACATACTGACGGAGACTGGTTCAATTTAATCTGATTAGCACCTCCTTCACGTATACTGGTTTTAACACAGAGATTAGGTCTTGACAGATGTTCTGAACCTTAGATTTAAAATGTGCTGCTAACCTTTTACAATTATTCACATTTGGAATTAAAGATTGTTTTTGTTCTAAAGAAGTAAGATTGCAGACTAAATCTCTGTTGGTTTGAGGTAGATTTGATTAACAGGATAGTACAACTTCTTTTTGTGGCCAAGTTTCTGTTAAACATGCCAGGTGAGCCTTTTCCTCTTTTATCAGATCTAAATATTAGTTTGGATTTATTTTGTACCAGACTAGCATTTAATAGCACCATGTGCAAATAATAAGGTCAGCTGATGATGTTACTTCAATTCTGTCAGCAGAATGGAGGACCAGAACACAGAACAGAAATTAAGGATTTGGGACATGTTCTCCTGCACTAGCCCTTCTGCCATCCTGTTGCAGAGCTTTGAATTTCTGATTAAGCATTCTCCTATTTATACAGAGCAGAATTACACAGACTCATGGAGCAGAATAGCTTCAAAGTCTTCAATCATTTCACCATTTTTTCTTATGAACTGGCACTTACAGTCTGAATAACTCACTCTGAGACATTAATAGTAGAAAGAAAAAAAACATTTCATTACTTACAAATACAATATGAACATATAATAGCAAACTAACAACTAAGAGACAACTGACAACTGACTGCCAACTGACAACAGAGAGGAAAATAGAACTCTCAGCAAAGAGATGGGGCTCTCTTTGAATACTGAGATGAGAAGGAAGGGGTGGGTAATGCTGGATGGAATGACAGTCCCCCTAGCCTGGAAAAGTCCCTCCTAGCCAAACAAGCTACAGGCAGCATGCAAGGTAGTAAAAAACCCTCCACCAGCCCATCTCAGACTCATATACAGCCATCTTCTCGAAGATCCATTTTGCTATGTAAGTTCTGGAAGTGGTCTTTTGCAAGAGGCTTGGGTTGGCTGTCTGCTGTCATTTCTGTGGTGGGTCACAAGACCATCTTGAGGACAACTTTCTCAATCAAGGCATGCACAAATGATATCTCATGCCAATGTGTTTGATGCCTGCATTCATCTTTTCACTTTGCAACAGTAGGATGCAGCTCTGGTTATCTTCTGTCACATAGATTAGCATCTCTTCCTTTATTCCAGTGTTATTCAGCGTCTCCAGCTATAACGGTTCTCTGCATGCTTCATTGCAGCAATGAATTCAGACTCTGTGGAAGACAAAACTACAACATCCTGTTTGTGACTAGCCCATGAAATAGGATTATCACCATACATGAGCAAGAAACCACTAGAGGATTCATAATGTATACTATCCTCTACCCATGTATGTCAATGTAACCTACAAGGTTTGGATTTTTACTAACTGGCAGCCTTAACTTAAAATCCACGGTCTCTTTCAAATATCTAGTTACCCTTTGTAAAGCTGTCTAATCACCCGATGTTGGCAAACTAACTCTTCTGTTTAATATTCCTATAGTAGTAGCTGTATCTGGTCCTCTAATGGTTGTGGGGTGCAAAAGTTTACCTATAGCTGTTCTGTACTATTTGGTAAAGATTCACTTTCCTCCGTATTTTTCAGAAAATCTGTTTGCATGTGTGTTATTATGCTGTAGGGCATTCTGGAGTCCTAATGTCTCCAGAAGCTCAATTATCTTTTGTTTCTGATTTAGCAAATATGACCCATCTGCCTTTCTTTCAGTTTCAACGTGCAATTAATATGTTGCATCACCTATCTCTGATTTCAATTTCTTTGTACTTCTGTTCCCTTTGAATAGCTACAATTAAATCATCTACATAAACAAGGATACAGGCTAAATGTTCATTTCTGCTTCTGGTACACAAGCACTGATCTGCGTCACCTTGCTTGAAGCCTTGTTGCAGTATCATATTATTCAGTTTCTCATTCCAAGCCCCAGAAGCTTGTTTCAGTCTCCACAGGCCTTTCTTTAATTTGCATACAAAATTGGGATGCTTCTGGTTGATGAAGTCCAGTGGCTGCCCCATATACAGCTGCTCTGCAATACGTATCTCCACGTAGAAATGCAGTCTTGATGTTTAGGTGCTTGATTTGCATCTTTCTGGAGGCTGCCATATGCAGGAGCATTCTTACTGTGCTGTGCTTGATAACAGGAGCAAAGGTTTCATCAGTCTTCTCCATGTTTTTGTAGGAACCCTTTTGCAGTGAATTTTGCCATTTGCAATTTATTTCATCTTGAATAACTATCTGCACTTGGTGGCTTTCTTGCCTGATGATAGCTTAGTCAATGCCCATGTCTCATTCTTGTGCTGTGCTTCTATCTCTTCCTTTGCAGCTTTTTCCACCTGGTGGCTTCAGCTACTGTATCTGCTCACTTATCTGCGACATCCTTGTGAAGTAGGACAGGCAAGGAGTTGGTACCCCTTTGTTGGATTCCATGAGTATCTGATTGCTGGTTCTGGAACATCTTGTAGCATAGGTGCCTGTTCCAGTATTAAGCTTTGACATCACCTGTGTGCTCTTCTCTTCTCAGTTTGTGTGTTATTTCCTTCCTGATTCACATCTGGCTCGGGTTGTGGAGGCATTGACAGTTTCATCTAAGAAAGGTCCAACATACTGATCTTCTGATCCTATTTTGTTTGTTTGTTTTCTTATGTTCATAAAAACGAATCACATATCTTTCATTGACTTCACATGTTTTTAAGTTCATCACTTTGTATCTTTTGCTGCCAGGAGCATAACCAAGCAAAATAATCTCTTCAGTTCTAGACTCCAGTTTGTGGCTTTTCTGTTTGGGAATAAAAGCATATGCCAGGTTTCAAAAAATTATGATATGTTCTGTGCTTGGCGCTCTGTTGTGTCATAGCTCAAATGGTGCTTTTGTGGTGCCTTTGGTTGGCAATCTGTTCTGGAGATATGTTGCTGTCATGATCACATTACTCCAGAATTTGTTGGGCAACTTTGCATCCATAAGCATGCATCTTGTCATCTGCAAGAGGGATCTCAGTTGTGTTTTCAGCTATACCGTTCTGCTCAGGAATAAGTGGAACATTTCTCCTGTGCAAAATGCCTTGTTCCTTTAAGAAAATATCAGTGTGATGCAAAAGGTACTCACCACTATCATTGGTCTTCAGTGTCTTGCATTTTCTTTCAAATCTGTTGCTCAGCATGGCCACATACTTTCTTCAACATATCAGGTGTCTCATTCTCCTTTTTCAGCAGGTAAGTGACACAGTATCTCAAGAAATCATCCACAAATGTTAGAAAATATCTATAATGTTCCAATTCTTATGGGATACTGAGTGATCCACACAAGTCACTATCAAATCCAGAATCTGGGTACCCCTTCACTCAGTTCTTGGCAGGAATAAGGGCCTAACACTCTTTTTTCTGATACAGCTTACATACCTGGTTGTGTTCATTGCATTATGTGGATTTATCTTTATATTTGTAGCAATTTTTTATTTTGCAGCTTCAAAATAGCTTTTAGATCTGTGTGTGAAGCAACTATGCCCCATGTTGATCTGCTGCTGTTCATCTAAAATACTTAAAGGCAATCACTAGACTTAATAGCTTGAAAACATATTTCACATACTTCACTACTGTACATTGTCCACTTTCAAAATGTGTAGAAAAATCTTTATCACTC